ACCACCAGGATGGGACATAGTAACTTCTCTCCACTCTCTTAGTTGTTGGTGGAAGGGAAGCTGGGGTCTGCCAGAAGATCTTGATAGGTTCTAAAACAGCCTCATTTACTGGCAGTGCTATTCTAGCTGGGGCCGCAGACGTTAGAATGTTCACCAGCTTGTGGGATTTCTCCTAGACCACCTCCAGGAAGATATCAAAAGTCATAGGCAGCCTCCTCAGCAGCTCCTGATGGGTCTTAAAAGAGAAGCTCCCCCATAATTGCCTCATCAGGAGCTGAGGAAGAAAATGCTAGCAGTACCAAGTGCTGATGCAACTTCTGGCCCTCCTGCAGTTGCTCGTGAGAGAAACCCTGACTCTGCTTGGTACAATGCCTGTGGCGGCAATGCTCCTGATGCCCGGCCGGTGGAGCCCAATGAGATGGCTGCAGGGACAGGAAAGCCAAGGGTTCCAAAAGGGCCATTCGTGCAGCTCTGGAGCCTAGCTAGGCATAGCCCAAGGGTCCCTCCTGGTATTTGGGTGGGCAGGTGGCATAATCCTCCTGATGGGACTGGCTATGCTCGGATATGTAGGAAAGTCTGATGAGGATGCTGCTGCTCCTTAAGACCAAGGTGGCGCCATACCTGTTGGTACCAGAGAAGGCTCATACTTTCCCCTAGATGGTACTGGCCTCACTGATACCCTGATGCGCACCTCTGGAGATGCATGCTTGGTGAAGAGGTGAAGGTGCCAGAGGTAGTACCCTAGATACTGATGATAGGTGAGACTCTTGAACCACTGTTGAACCAAGAGGTTCAACAACTCTCTTGCACGCTTAAACAACTTGGGAGTGTAAGGTACCAGGAAGATACTCTGTATTACTGTGGTGCGAGATGTCGTCGAGGTACACGCTTCGGGAGCTGGTCTCGACAGGCCAACACTGGCCTCCAGAGTCACCGAACTCCCATTTAGACGTGTGCCCTGGGGAGTGCTTCCTCTTAGAATACTCTTCTGTGTCCTTAGCAGAGCTCATCCTCTTTGAATTCCTCGACAGCACCAGTACTGGATCCACTTTCCGATGCCTTTTCTTGGACTGGGGCTGAGTACTGACCAATGCTGAGGGGCTCAGCTGGAGAATGTAGGACAGATTCCAAGACCAGATATTTTAATCCGTCTGCCCTGTCTTTTTTTGAACGAGTCTTAAAGCCCTTACAAATGCCTCACTTCTCACTCTCAAGCTTTCCCCAAACACATAAGGCAGGTGAGGTGAGAGTTGCTATTTGGCATCGCCTTGCCATGACAGCAACAGGGTTTGAAACCTGGATGGTGTGGCATACCTCCATTACCAGAGCCAGTACCCCAAACTGGGTGGCAGAACCTATACGAACACCCCCCCTTTTTTTTTAAACTGTATATGGATACTGTATACTGATATTGAGAGACTTGCAGAAGCAAGGACAGGGAGCTCCACTAATTGTCACAGGCAGTAGGAAAAAACTGAGGGGAGGGGATCTGAGGTGACTCGGCCCTTTATGCCTTCATGACGTGTGAGAAAGCAGAGGGCATTCAAGCCACCTCGACAGGTACTGGAAAGGGTAAAAAGTCTCAGACAACTGTGCACTGAAGTGCACAAATACCTGCCATGGAATGGACATGTGGAATCACTCAAAGAAGAAGTTCCTGTTGTCCTGCAATAGTAAGTCCAGTAAAGGAGGTAATGGTTTTGGTAGATGTCCTGTTAGAAGCATCACCTTTCGGTATCAAAACTTCCTCAGCCAAACAGGACCTTGCAGCATCTTCTCTGATCTTCCTGAGCACCCTGGGAATCAGAGGGTAAGCACAGGTCACTTGTGGGGATCACTGCATAAGGAATGTGTATGCTGGGGTTCTGACTTTAGAGCAGAAACTGAGACATTTTTTGTTCTTGTGTATTGCAAACAGGTCTATTGATGGATGACCCCACTCCTGGAAAATGAAATGGATGACAGAATCCTTGATGACCTGAACATGGGCTGATCAAAATTATCTGTATTCTGTAGTAGTAGTATTCTGTAGACATGCATGATGTATTGCCCTGAGAGGTACTTAATGCTGAATATACCAGTTCCATAGTCAAACTGCTTCCTTACATAATGGAGATGATCATTCTCTGTTGGCTGTTTATATATAAAATGGCCATTGTGTTGTCAGTCAGAACTTAATTGTCAGACCGCAGATCCCTCGCAGAAATGCAATGCAGGCTCTGTGAACTGCTCTGAGCTCTAAAAATCTTTGTGTAACCATCTTTCACAGGGATGCATCTATCATTAAAGTCTTGATCGGGCAGACTGGAATAGCTGGGTTCTTTCCATCCATTTAGTGATATACAAATGTCAAAGGATTACTAAAATGTCTTCAAGTGGAAAAATTAGTTTTTATATCACATGGTTTTAGATTTTTACTTGATGAATGTAAGACTTGCAGCTTTCCACCATTAGTGGGGAAAAAAAGCTTTAATGTAAGAAAACATTATGGTGCATGAACACTAAGCTCACATACTACAACTTCTCAGAGGGTCAATTCCACAGCTACTGCTGCCTCTCCTTACCCCCAAGAGGCAATGTGTAGCAACTGTTTATTAATAAACAGTAAAGAAGAATATTTCATAGTATTTAGGATTAGCATTGGGCTACAAGAGGAAGATGTGAGAGTTATGGTGCATCAACTGGGTTTAACATTTGTGAGATGTTAAATACTTGGTGATTAGAGAGGCTATAAAAACAGAAAACTCATAGTAGGAGATTTCAACTATCCCCATAGTGACTGAGTACATGTCACCTCGGGACATGATGAAGAGATAAAATTTCTAGACACCATTAATGACTGCTTCTTGGAGCAGTTAGATCTAGAACCCACAAGAGGTAATTCTTGATTTAGGCTTAAGTTGCACACACGCTCTAGTCCAAGAAGTGAATGTGGCTGAACCACTTGTTAACAGTGACCATGATGTAGTTAATAGCAAAGAAGCCCACTACAGGAGCATTTAACTTCAAAAAGGGGAACTACACAAAAAAATGAGGAAACTAGTTAAATAGAAATTAAAAGGAACAGTTAAGAGTGAAATGCCTGCAAGGTAACTTTTTAAAAACACCATAATAGAGGTTCAAATAAAATGTATACCCCATCTTAAAAAAGCCAGTAAAGGGATCCAAAAAATGCCACCGCGGGTGACTGGACAAGAAAATGGCAAATGAAATTCAATATTGATAAATGCAAAGTAATGCACACTTGAAAACAATCTGAAATATATATACACAAAATGACAGGGTCTAAATTAGCTGTTACCACTGAAGAAAGATCTTGGAGTCATGGACAGTTCTCTGAAACTATCCACTCAGTGTACAGCAGCAGTCAAAAAAGCTAGTAATAGTAGTTAATACTAAGTATTAAAATGCCACTATATAAATCCACAGCACACCCACATCTTGAAAACTGCATGTGGTTCTGGTCACCTTCTCTCAGAAAATACTTAGAATTGGAAAAGGTACAGAGAAGGGCAACAAAAAGGATTAGGGGAATTGAATAAGTTCCACTGGAGGAGAGATTAAAAAGAATGGGACTGTTCAGCTTGGAAAAGAGATGACTGAGAGGCTATATGATAGAGATCTATAAAATCATGAATAGTGTGGAGGAAGTGTTATTTACCCCTTCACAAACACAAAAAGCAGCGGGTTACCTAATGAAATTAACAGGCAGCAGGTTTAAAACAAACAAAAGGAAGTACTTCTTCACATAGTGCAGTCATCCTATGGAATTCATTGCCCAGGGATGTTGTGAAGGCCAAAAGCATAACTGGGTTCAAAAAATAATTAGGTAAGTTCATGGAGGATAGGGCCATCAAGGCTATTGGCCAAGGTGGTCAGGGATGCAACTGACTGCTAGATATTGGGACTGGATGACAGAGGATGAATCACTCAATTGCCCTATTCTGTTCATTCCCTCTGAAGCATCTGGTATCGGCCACTATCAGAAGACAGGACGCTGGTCTAGATGGACCATTAGTCTGACCCAGTATGGTCATTCTTGTGTGTGATATGGGCCCACCCCAAAACAGAGATCCTTTCTCTTCACAGGGACTCATACATGTATTGAGGATAGGTATATTTTCCCTATTAAAACAGTGAAATTAAAGAGCTTGCAGATAACTAATTTAAGAGACAGGACTAGAATATGTTACTCCTCTACAGCTACGGAGACACTTGCCTCAAAGGCTGATGCATCCAAATTCAATAGAAGTGTTGTCTAGATGTATCCAATTTAGTTAGCTAAAATACATTGTTTACTCCAACAGTTGGATGCCATTTCAGATACATACAGAGTGAAACATCCGCTCTCCTTTCGTAGGTCTATTTTTGTATTTCACTCCACACAGTGAGGATGCTACAAAAATATATTTGACTAGCCAGATAATATAGCATGCACTATGGCCACAAGTATATGACTATTATTATAATAATGAGGTCTTCCTACACAGCAGTTTATAATATTTGTATGGAGCCTCTCCCATGATACCTAAACAACAACTGATTTTAATATGAAGATTTTGGGTTTAAAGTAACCTCATGGACAGCATTGCTGAAGACTTACACAAGGATTTGAAAGTTGACCATCTAGCCACAGAGCAAGATGTCCTTTATAAAGTTCAAGTACAAGAAAAGTGTCTTTTTCCAAGAAGATATCTACAGGTAACTTGTTTTGACTTTCATTAAAGTGCCTCTGAGATCATAATCTGTCTCTCCATCCAGACCTCATTTATACTTTAGCCCTACAGCTAAATATCATTAGAAATACTAAGAGAGGGAACAATGGGGACAGCTGTTTAAAGTATTAAGCTTTAGCATCAGGCAGCAGGTAACTCACATGCCCCTCCACACAACTTTCTACATCTATGCAGACAAACATGGAAAGGTACCCACCCTATTCTTTGGAGAGCACTGCCACTAGGCAGTAGTTAGATTTTCTTCTTCAATTAATACACCAAACATTTTCTTCAAAAAAGTTTATTTATGCAAAGCCAAACAGGAAGTGTTCTGTAAAAGTGAAAAGCTCATTTTACATATGATAAAAACATTTATGCATTTAGTCTAGGAAAAGTGAGGATTTTGAGTTGTCTAATCATTTACAGGAATCTGCAAACTTGTTTTAAAAATAGACATTGGTATTCAGTCACTTATTTTCCCCAATACCTAAATGCTGTACAGTTTGCTATAGCTCACTTCAAGGTGCCAAAAAAAACAAAAAAAATCAGGGATATCCCATTAAATTCAACTATACAAGCTTTGTGCTCGATAAAAATCGAGCATTGGTATAAGCATTACATTCAACTGAGAATATTTTGAATGTATATAGTAGTCAAAAAAACAAACAATAACATAATTTATATGAATGTCAGCCACTTCACAAACACCCAACATTCTTGTCTTCCTTTTCCTAAGGAGAAAGTTATGTTCCTTGACCCTCCAGTTCTGATGCTGCTATATCTGGTTCTTCATCATTATAAATGTTTTCAGCCTAGAGACACAAGTTATTGCATTACAAGTATCAAAAAGTGATAGGCACATTTGATTAACAGTATTTTTTCTAATCTTAGAAGACATATGATTGCAGAAGTGAGGAAACTGATGCACTTTGAGAACAGGATTGTTTTCTCAGAAGTATCCCTTTCCCTGACTTTAAAGAGGGAAGTCAGTTTTAAGATTATGTAAAATGGCTAGACTAATCAACACTAATATTAAAAGTATGTATAAGATGTTTTAAATTGATGCACTTTAGGCTAATCCTAATCCATTTAGCTCTTTACCCAAAAGATTTTGTCCCGGTCTCATGTCCAGTTTCAGTCTTACTTTAAAACTACTATCCCAGTAGTAATTGCTTCCAAAAACACACATCCTTCAACTTACAAGGAAAAAAAACTCAAGTGGATAGAAGGGGAGGTACATCTGTATATACATTTAGTTGATGTTTTTAAGTGGCTGCGGTTTTCTGGCAAAACTCTTGTGGTGTCAATTTATATTAAATGAATGCTGTCAGGCAATGGTCCTGCCTTTACAGGGCCTCTGATGATGTAGGGCTTCCTCTTTTACTACTAAGATCCTATAACTAGCTAGGATTAATGACTGCCAACATGACTCCCAGAAGTCTTAAAAATGCAGTTAACTTTGCAATTAGGAGTTCTAGAAGCCATTTGTAAAACAAAAGCTTAGATTCTGGATAGCATAGCGCATATAAACCTGCAATATCTACAAACTCACTCTGAAGATCTATTTTTCCTTCTTTTGAAGATACTAAAATATCAACTTAGCTCCAGTTAACTCATCTGTTGAAATGGATATTTTTGGTATATATTAGAAATTAGCCATTTCTAGTTCAATTTATCCTTAATAAAATTCAAAATGATATACAAAAGTCATAACAGAACTTTTTTTGTATGAATATTAGTCTTAATGTTCAGGTCATTAACTAAATGGATTTAACTTGAGGAAAAAGATTGCCTACATGAGACATAGTCTATCTTTTTTAAAGACTTTTTAAAGAGAAGAATAACCTCCTTTTTCATTTATATAATGAAGCTGAAAGCAATGCAGAAATTAAGTTCTGACACTCACCATTTGCCATATTTGCATTATGTTGTCCTCAGATACAGAGCAGATTACCCAGGGTTCGTTAGGGTTCCAACTAAAATCTGAAATCTTTGCAGTGTGTCCTCCATGAATAAACTGTTAATAAGATCAAATTTAATGACCCAAGACATCTCTAGACAATCAAAGTAGTGAAATATTTTAATTTACTATTCTCATTAGCAAACAAAGTAAAACTAAGGAATAACTATGTACAGTAGAACCTCAGAGTTACAAACACCTAGGGAACAGAGGTTGTTCGTTTGTAACTCAGAAATGTTCGAAACTCTGAACAAAGTGTTATGGTTGTTCTTTCAAAAGTTTACAACTGAACATTGACTTAATACAGCTTTGAAACTTGACTATGCAGTAGAAAAATGCTGCTCTCTCTTTTTTAGTAGTTTAAGCTTAAACACAGTACTGTCCTGTATTTGCCTCTCTCCCCCCACATCTCTGCTGCTGCCTAATTCCAAATGAGGTGTGTGGAGCTGACTAGTCAGTTCTTAACTCTGGCATTCTACTGTAAGTGGAGATCTGAGGTGCAGTTTTAAAGTAGCTGCCTTAACACGTACGCCACAAACAACATGTAAATGCCGCCCACACACAAACATTTCAGATTAGGACTGTTGAGGAGAAGGCAGGAAACACCATTTAAAAAAAAGGATTCTTGCTACCTGAGTTACTTGGCACAGCAGCCTCCTGCTTTTTCAAAAAGCTCTATATTAGGTTATTTTACCCAGAAGCAAGATGAAGAGTTATTACTGGATGTGGAAGTCAACCAATAGCAACTGTTTTCCCACATAGTTGTGCACAAAATATAGTGGTTGCTTGTAAATCATTTGATGGAGAGCCTAACATGAACTAAAGAAGCTATTTCAGATTATTTCCTTTCCTCCTGTAAAGTTGCTATTAGCAACACAGCCATTTATAGCAGCATGAAGTTGCTAAAAACCCTAAATGACTACCTAATCTAGGAAACATTAAACACTATACTTTGTTTCAATGATAACTTGAGGTAGTAGGTTAGTTTTGGTTTATACATAGTTAAAAGTATAACCTACAGCTGTGTTTTCTACACTTTACCTGACCTTGGATATAGGTAACATTGCAGACCTACTGCAGCAATGGCACTCTGTGCAGCACTCATACAAAGGAGCATTAAGAACCACTGCCTTAAAACTCACTTAGCAGTTGAGAGCCACAATCAAGTACCGAGAGATAGTGGGACGTTGAAGAATTTGCCCGAAGTAAATTCCTGGATTAGACAGATTATTGGTCTGGTCTGCTATTGCAGTTCTTTAGTCTAAGAATAAAGATATAAGTTCTTATGAGGCATCAGCAGGTCTCCAAGCTAAAGGCAGCAAATACGTACCAAAAGTTCAGGAGGCCCATCTTCTGCATCCTCTGCAGATTGCTCTTCTCCAATTTTACTGTAAAGAAAACAATGCTGTTTAAAGGAAGATTTTAAACCCTTAAAATCTTGAAGTAGTTCCAACATCAATATAGTTATCTCATTTAAGTGGGCAAGAAGTCAATTTGGGAATTAAGGTTTAAAAAAAGGAATAGCTAATGGAGGACTATGCCTTTCTCTTATCAGGGGCACTTGCGCTGAGAAAATATCTTTGTTTTCAATTCCTACTCTTGCTGCTTATTCTTCACCCGAAGTTTTAATCCTCAAACATGGGTCATCACCACTGAAAAAATCAGATTCTGCAGATTAGATCAATAAAGGACCCTTGGGGAAGAGATCACTTATTACTAAAAAGACCGGGGGGGGGGGGGGAAGGAGGGGAAGGAGACATGCAGAGTTGTTCAGAAGTTTTTTTTTTAAACTTAACTGGCAAAGATCAATAAAAATACAGCATAGTATTCCTACACTGAAGTTTGCTAGTTTTTAAACAGAAAATAGCTTATGCCTAAATTGTAGGGTTAGTTTTTTTTAAGTACAAATGCAAAGCCTACTGCATATATTGGATGTGTGTCTGCTATCTCCACATAGGTTTTAAATAAAGGAACAGAATCACTCTTTACCTTAGATCCCATACATTTAGCCGACGATCAGTCCCACTTGAAGCAAGAATTGTTTCATTATGAGGAGACCAGTGAACCTGTAAGAAGAGAACATCTCTCGAAAATAGGAGTATAAAGTTCATGTCTTTGTATGTATTCTGAACTAGTAACTTTAGATGTGACCAACATTGCCAGTTTTAACTATCAATGCTTGAACTGCTACAGCCATAACTGATCAACATTTTTAATAAAAAGGACAAATTTAGAGAAGATAGACTCAAATATATAGACTACTTCTCACTTCATGTACCCCAACATCAAGGCTTTCCTCCAATTCAGAGGATCTTAAGTTTCCTAATGGAAGAAATCCAACCACAAGAAATATACCATTAAAACTGCTATACTACCATAAAGTGTCAGTATTATTTAGTTCCATTTTCTACAATGGTCAAGTGTGTCTGCAAATCACTTGTAAACTTGCCTAATCATACATAAAATGAAAGTCATTGAATAAAGTCACACAGCTTTAAGGGAGTATTTGGAATTAGAGTTGCCTTCTGTTTGTGAATTTTTTTTTTTGGAAATACATATTTTAGGAACATGAGTCTGGGTCAAGCCAAGTCTTATACTCCTGACTTCAACCATACATATTTTAGGAGATTTTTTGATAAACAAAAATCCCTGTGTGTATATCTTTTCAGCTGCACATGAAAGCAATCTTCTGGATCTAACTGGCTGATTAGTTACCAGTTGGTTTTGGAGAGTTGGTTGTCATCTATAAGCCATAAATGGCTTGTGATCTGCTAATGTTAAGGACCATCTCTCCCCACATGCCATGGTGCAGAGTGCTCAAAGCTGGAGAACCCTCTGAGAGGAAACTGGTGCCCAGGAGTTCTTTGAGAGGGGTCCCCAACTTCAGAATCTATTCTTTACCCATCGGAAATAGCCCAAATCTGTTATCTTTCAGGGCACATTGAAGGATTTTGGGGAGGCACAGATACATAGACAAGACTTGTTTTAAATTATTCTGAGAAAAGCTGTTGAGCTTTTATACTTGCCCTATTAATTTTATTTTAACCATAGTGAGAGAGCATCTAAGCATTTCCCATAAAATGCCAGTTTGTGTGCTGCTGTTAAAGCAGCAAGTTAGAAAGCTGGCAGACTCATGAATATACTTTGGGGGAAAAGAGAAAAAAAAAAGTCTACTCACATTACCTATGTTGCTTAAATTAAGGCTTAATGGTGGCATTAGTTCAGCTATTAGTTCTTGCAACAGATCTCAGTGATCAGATATATTTCAATTGATCACAATATCAGAATTCCAAACCAAACCAAATTCCCACCTGATCCGGAGCTCTCAGCAATATGCACAACCTTATTCTAAAACCTTCAAGTTATTCATTTGTCTTCTGCCCACCTGAAAGATTTCATCCTTGTGAGACTCAAAAGAATGAAGTTTTAATTTAAGGTTTCGTAGATCCCACAAAGCCACAGTCTGTGAGGGAAAGGGGAAAAAATAAATAAGGTACCTTTACTCCAAAAGCCTCTGAAGTTATTCAATTTTAAATTAATACATTTTAGCTACCCGTTGCACTTTATTGACATTTGTGACTAATGTCTAAGCACACTTTTAGGAGCATATACATTCAATTTGTATAGGATGTTAAAAATATATGTAAGTAAAACACCTTGTCAGCAGAACCAGTTGCTAGAATGAACTCGCTGTAGGGATTGAAGGACAGGCAGTTGACCTCGGCTGTATGGGCATCTACAGAATGACTTGGCTTGGATGTAGTATTGGACCTCGTGTCCCAACTTTTTTGGATGAAGGGGTGGG